AACCCAGGTGGATGTCCATGCCACTGCTACAAGGGAGTGAGGGCAGAGTCCAATCATGTGACAGGATACACAACACACTAACTTGGGAAGGGAGGTAATTAAACACAGTCGGTGATAGAATTTTCATTTTATCTAACGAACCAAAGAAACTTTAGAATAATAAAAGTGGGTTTCCAGGCCGGAAGTTGGTGGTGCACACCTTTAATCCCAGCACTCGGGAGGCAGACGCAGGCGGATCTTCGTGAGTTCAAGACCAGCCTGGTCTACAAGAGCTAGTTCCAGGACAGCCTCCAAAGCCACAGAAAAACCCTGTCTCAAAAAACCAAAAAAAAAAAAAAAGGTGAGTTTGCAGAAAAGTGGCTGAAGGAGACGCTAAGAGGTAGACAGGTGGGATGCAGATGGAAGTACACCACGCATGCTCTGCACACCATGTACGTGCAAGGATGTCTATGGCGTGTTAGTCATGGTGTCTTTGCTATGACGAAATTCTTGACAACAGCAACTTAAAGAAGGAAGGGTTTATTTTTGGCTCATAGTTTGAGGGCGCACAGTCCATCATGGCGGGGAAGGCATGGGGACAGGAGTGAGAGGCAGCCGCCCAAGTTGCATCCACATTCAGAAGCAGAGGAAGGTGAACATTGGTGCTCAGCTCACTTCCTCCTTTATTCAGGCCAGGACCAAGACCATGAAATGGTGCTGCCAGCATTCAGGCAGGATCTTCCCACTTCTGTGAACACAACCTAGAAACTTCCTGACAGGCACACCCAGAGACTTGTTTCCATGGAGATTCTGAATCCCATTGTATTGACCTTCAATATAGACCAGTGCAGGGACATGCCCATTATGTAACTGGAGCGATTTAAATCTCACCCTCCGCTGATGGAATAAATGAGCAAGATAGACCAGTAAAATTATAAGGCTGGCACATTCCTACCCACAGTCTTGACCTTAGGGAATCCAAAGAAAAATCACCCAGCAGTTGTAGATGCCTCATTCTTTCTGAGTGTGTAAGAAGCCTACACCAAGACAGAGCAAGACATTGTCATACGTCACAGGGAGTTGAATGTACAGCTGGTTCTCTGGCTGCAAGGGGAGCTGTCAAGAGAATTTCGGGATAGTTGGAAGTTAAGGAACAAAGCCAAGTCAAGCCCTGCCACTGGTGCAATAGAGGCATGACAGTCGTGGGGTAAACCAACTGCTTTCCAATGGCATCTGAGCTCCGCTTCACAGGAAGGAATTCAAGTCTAGTGCACCTGGACAAAGGCTGGAGGTCAGCAGGTCATAGGCCCTAGGGGAGAAACTACTACTGTTGTTCTGTTAAATGGACATGTTACAAATTGCCTTTTATATATTTCTGTTGTATCCATAAATCGTCACTGCTCTCAACCCTAGTCAGAGAAGCTTCTCTCTGCAGTGTAGTGGTTAGTGCTGAGGACCAGTGACTACTGAGTGCTCTGCCCTAAATGGGACATCTATATCCATCCTTCCCCTGAAGGACTGGGAACCTTGTGGAAGAGGAATCAGGAAGAATGTACGGGCTGGAGGCTGGGGGAGTGCTGTGGAATGGTGTCTTCTGGCATAACATGGCTATCGCACCCTGAACTCACAGAAGCTGTGGTGGCCTACACAGGGTCAAGCCAGTCAGCATTCCAGCATGAACAGGAAGGGGCTCATAGAATCCCATCCCTCGGTGAGAACCTATTGACAACTGGTGGCTGATAGGAAAGGAGGGTCAGTTTTCCTCAAAGGTACAGCTGCTGTTAGGTTGCCCATTTTCCCAGGATGGCTCAATACCCACATGCATTTGGGCAGCACTAACAGAACTCTGTTATTTTAAAGAAAAGTAGAAGAAGGAAGAAAAGGAGGAATAAGAGGAAGAAGAGGATATACTGAGAAAACCTAGGGGAGTAGGAGGGATGCTGACATGGATATGATCAACATACACTGTGTACAAGAAAAGAACTGTCAGCCGGGCGTTGGTGGCACACACCTTTAATCCCAGCACTTGGGAGGCAGAGGCAGGCGGATCTCTGTGAGTTCGAGGCCAGCCTGGTCTACAAGAGCTAGTTCCAGGACAGCCTCCAAAGCCACAGAGAAACCCTATCTCGAAAAACCAAAAAAAAAAAAAAAAAAAAAAAAGAACAGAACTGTCAAATAATTAAAAAGGCAAAAATATTCACAGCTCACAGAAGCAAGAACAGGACAGAGATCATTCCAAGACCCGTGGCAGCAAAGAATAGCAAATTCTAACTTGCTGTGTATGATTAACATGATCCTTGGAGAGAGCGCTTTGGTTGGCATGCCATGTCAGCTACGAACAATTTTAAGTGGGTGGTGTGAGCATCTGTGTGAAGAAGAGAAGGGGGAGCAAGTAAAACACAAGGCCAAAGGAAGGGATAGCAGAGGTGAGCAGATAGTAAGGGGCCAGCAAGACGAGGCAGCAGGTAAAGGGGCTTGGCACAAAGACTGACGACCTGAGTTCAATCCCTGGGACCTACATGATGAGAGAACAGACCCCACAAAGCTGTCCTCCGACGCTGGCATGCAAGCCAACAAATACAGTAAGGAAAACATTAAAAATAAGAATTAGGGGGGAAAGAAGAAGAAAAAAATGGAAGCCCAAAGCAGCATCTTTGAAGGAGTTAATACAGGCGACACGTCTCTGTATCAGATGACCATAAGAGAAACAGAAAAAACACAAGTCACTGTTAGTGAGGACAAAGGATGAGACATCACTATAGATCTTACAGATTTTTTTAATGACCATCAAGACATGGGAGCAGGTTTACATTAATAAGTTCAATGAAAGATAAAATGTAGAAACTCTTCACACATACACTTGAGAAAAGCAGAAAGAGACAGAATCTCTCAACAGCTGAGTCCACTGAGGTTAGACACAGCCTTCATCCTTTCTTGGCTCTCGGGCCTTGGGTAAGTCTAGGGTCCCAACACCCATACCTACCAGGTGGCAGCTGTAGTTGATTCACACTAGGATCTTGGCAGACACCCTATGACATAGCCTCTTTCCATCCTTGTCTCATCAAGCAAAGAAGGCAACAGGGGCCTGAGAGAGAAACTCCCCCAAAGCCACACAGCTGTATCAGGGCAGGCTGTCAAGCTTGGAGAGTCCCAAGGCAGCATATGCTCTAACCTCTAAATTCTATAGTTTCCTTCCTTTTCTAAATACCATTTTAGCCAGCCAGCCTGACCTACAACAAGATGAAGCACTATAGGAGTCCTGCTGGACTAGCAAACAACACATATCAAATAGGTTAAGTGACTCAATCATGGCAACACAGCCAGGATTTACATCCTAGTCATGGAGATTGCCCTTCTTGTAACAATCTATCAAGTTGTCCGAAATATTCAAGCCACCCAGAGCTAGACATCCCACTAACCTCCTACTCCTGGCCCTGTCCTGAGGATCACGGGGTTCATGGAGGGATGGTGCTGGCCCTGGCGTCATGATTCCTTGAGTGATGAGAATAAATTGTCCCTGATGACAAAGGCAGCACCTGCTTCACTGGATTCACCTGCCAGTCCCCAGCAAGTCTCACTCTACTCATAGGAGCTGCCCAAAGGTGGCAGGTATCACTATGTCAGTGTTGCCCCAAAACAGCAGCTCAGAGGATTTAACTAACTTTTCTGAGGCACACAGCCATAATAAAACAATTTTTAAAAGTATTTTAGAAAGCTCTGAAATTTGTGTCAAACTTTTCCAGTCTTGTGAAGGAGTAGAATCCAGCCCACACTCCCTTCACATCCTTTCCAGTCCCTTCTGAAGTGGGGCTTATATCTCCTGTGGTGGTCTGAAAGAAAGTGACTTCCAAAGGGAGTGACACTATTAGAAAGTGTGGCTTTGATGGAGTGAGTAGGTATGGCTTGTTGGAGGAAATGTGTCACGGGGTGGGGGTTGTGTTGAGGTCTCCTATGCTCAAGCTATGCCCAGTGAGACAGTTTACTTCCTGTTGCCTGCTGATCAAGATGTCAAACTCTGAGCTCCTTCTCCAGCACCAAGTCTGCCTGCAAGCCACCATGTCCCACCATGATGACAATGGACTAAACCTCTGAAACTGTAAGCCACCCAATTAAATGTTTTCCTTAATAAGAGTTTCCATGATCATGCTGTCTCTTCACAGCAATAGAACCCTAACTAAGACATCCCCTGTGTGGCTTTCTGGGTAGAACCATGAAGCAACTTCACTCTGGGCCAGTCCCCAGGCAGCCTGTGCTCCAGAGGGGATATCCCACCTCCACCCTGCTGCTTGAGAAGTTTAGATATTCGGAGTAATTTCTGTTCATCTTAGAGGGGCCAAAGTGGGCCAGACAACAGGGATATGCTACATAGTGCTACCTCTGGCTAGAGCATTTTGCCCAGATGGTGAAGCACGGGAGCGCAGTCACTGCACTTTGAGGACATTCCCTACTCTCCACCCTCCATCTTTCCTTCCCAGAAGCCTCCAATCAGAGCAAGCATCTTGCCAAGGCAGCAGGGAAGCCTCCCCTTCCTCCTGGTCTGGGAGCCATTTTGTATGGGAAACGGAAACAGCACTTTCTCATTCGAGGGAAGGGACAGACTAATCGCCAAGGGCACACAAAATCATTTCTGTGCTGGGAGCTGAGCCGCCAGCACTCAGCTTAATTACACAGTGGGTCATGCTCTGCAGAAAGCAATTACACAGCAGAGCCTCTCCCAGAGCATGCTCGGAGACACACAACATTCAAACTCAGGAGGTTCCAAGCCTCCTTTCATCCCAGATGTCCACCCTCCCTCAGAAGAGAGTCTGGATCTTTCCAGTGTGAATGAGTACTGGATGGGTAACTTGTCACACAGCTGACCCATCCAGAGTCTACAGGCCAGGGGGGGCCACATTTCTTACCCGTACCCTGTCTGTCTTCACATCTGAGCTCAGCTCAGAGGCTGGCAGCCTCACTTGTACCTTTCATGAAGTACATACCACCTACCCATCCTACTATGTCTGGTCCAACAAGGAAATGACTTTCTCAGAGAAATCTGTTAGTACTCTGTTCTATCCCAGTTTACAGCAAATACACAAACCTACCTCCCTGTCCCCAGTATACATATATATGTGCATATATGCACATATATATATACACACTGTGCACACACATGCACTCATGCACACACAAATATACATACATACACACATACAGAAGAGACACATGAACAGACACATACATGAACATACTTGTGCACATACACACATACATGCATCTCCCAGTGCACATGGAAGATAGGGCATGTCCCCAGGAGCCCAGGCTGCCAGGGTCCTGCCCACCCCATCAGTTTCTCTGAAAGGCCCTTTTGTGACAGGAGGGCTTTGACCCTACACAATGCTCTCTTGTCCACTGGCCTCCAGAGAAGGAAGGGAGTAATTTTGCAGCGGTTTCCCCAGCGCTGAATTCTGCTAGAGACTCACGTTTCCCAGACTGATCTGCAACACAGACTCTGTCCCCAAGGAGACCCAGCCTAGGCCTGGAGAAGGCCAGCAGGGTAGAACACCATTCTCCCTGGGATGTTGCAAAGTCTGACAGGGCTATGGCCAAACTCCAGCAGGCCACCAGAAGTAAGATACCCAGAAGGAAAGCCCAGCCAACAGGTCAGGCAGCATACCTTTCTTCCTGTGATCTGAAAGAAAAGCTTTGCATGAGAAAGCTGATCAAATCCTGGATGCTCTGTGGCGGGAGTGGATTTCTTCTCATCACTGCAGAAACAATCACAGACTTCATCCAGGCTACCACCTGCAGCAGCACTTGGAGACAGACTCCACCCTCACTGTGGGGCTGCACACAGTTCATTTCTCTAGAATTCCTACCTTAGCCCAGCATCCCCCTAGACGCCACTAGCCTGTGGTACCCAAAGCTATGGCATGAGACCCCAAAACCCAACTGAGAGATGATTTGTGTTGGATCCAACAGAAAGATAGTTTGGGGCTTTATGCTGTCTTTGGGTAAGCCGGAAGCCAACCTATAGCTGAATGATATAAACAAAACTGGCATTTACAAAATTCTTTCCATGCTTCTCCAGAGTATGCAGCAGGGTGACTTCTCAGAACGTTCCAGAGAGGGGATCCTGGGACCAAACCCTCCACTGGGTAAGAAGATCTGCCCTCCTGATTGTACTTGAAGGTTTGGGGACCCTTCCTGTCTGTCAGCACAGTGTGACAGAGAAGTGGCATCCCAAGATGGCATAGAGAACACCTGCCTGACACTGGCTTCTCCACATAATGGCCATGTGACTCTGAGCAATATGTGTAACAACAGCCCCTGGATATACATGACGGAGTTAATACTTACAGTGGCTGAAGGCTGTTGATGCATAATAAATGCTCAGCATGTTACAGTGGCTCTCTTCATTCTCTGTACATGTGTGATGCAGAGCTCAGCTCTACCAGAAGGGCACAAAGGCCAGTGGCAGAGGCTGGGACTGCCAAGCTTGGTCCTGGGTAATGTCAACATAAACTCTGATAAACAACACACATAAGTACACTGGCCAAGAAGCCAGGGACCAAGCCTGATGGCCAACACAGTTCTGCCCAGTGGCACAAGACTGGGCTTTCAGGGCGGAGGAACAGCAACTATGGCAGTCTAGTTATGACTACCTAACAAGTGCCACCTCTGGTGGACAGCTGAGTTCATTGGGCTCTCTCCAGTGCCTCCCAAACCCCACCTTAACCCTTCTCTCCACCATCTGCAGAACCAGGTACTGAGCCTGCACCAGGACACAAGCAAGTCTTCATTTTGCTCTTGAAATTTGGTGCCTGGACAGGTGAGAAGTGAGTCTGTGTGGAGTGATGGGATCCAAGGCATCCTCCTGTTAGGGACCACCTCCCCATGCATGTAAACATTGGTTTCATGCTTCTGCAGATCCAGGAAGGTCTAGCCAGAAAGTGTCAATCACCATTATCTTCCAGCATCATTCCCCCAATATCAGCCCCTCATGTGACATCATCGTGTGATGGTTTGGTTCTGGTCACTCTGGATCCTTTTCGTCTGTAGGTCTGTCTTGCCATTTTCCTCCATGTGTGCAATGGCTGGTCTGCTGCACAGAGAATCTGCTGGGCATGAATGCTAAGGATGTGCCCTGTGAGCAGGTCTCAAGACTCCCAGAAGCCTGTTCCTGTGTGTCCCATATGCTTCTTGATTTTGTTTCTGTCCCTGACCTCTGCCCTTAGGTAGACAGGAAGGCTGAAGCCCTGGAGCTGATACTTCCCTTCCTCTGGGTTCATGTGCCAGAGACTTGGTCCTCAATGTTGCAGAGCTGGGAGATGGTAGGGCCTTTAATAGATGAGTCCTAGGGAAAGGTGATTGGGGTTACTGGGAGCATGGAATTCAGAGGAGATTCATAGGAAAGCACATTACAGCCAAGTAAGACGACCCCTCCTCCCTCCCACCCGCTGCTGCTATGATGCCATTAGTTACATCATGGCTTTAATCTCGCCACCCCATGCTGGTTAGTTTTCTTTTGTCAACTTAATACAGGACAGAGTCATCTGAGGAGAGGGAGCCTCAGTTGAGGACTTACCTCTACCACACTGTCTGCAGAGAAGTCTGTGCAGCATTTTCTTGGTTGATGACTGATGAGGAGGGCCTGGCTCACTATGGGTGGGACCACCCCTGGGATAGTGATCCTGAGTTATCTAAGAAAGCAGGTTGAGCAAGTCAAGGAGAGCAAGTCAGTAAGCAGCACCCTCCATGGCCTCTGCATCAGTTCCTGCCTTCAGGTTTCTGCCTTGAGCTCCTGCTCTGACTTCCCTTGATATCTTTTGGCTTGGGATGTGTAAGCCAAATATGCCTTTTCTTCCTAAGCTGCTTTTGGTCATATTGTTTATCACAGAAATAAGAAACAAACTAGGGGACGGACACACACACACACACACACACACACACACACACACACACACAGCCATCAACCTCTTCTCTTTATAAAGTGCCAACCTCCAGTATTTTAGCATACCAATAACAGATGCACTAAAACTCATTACAGGAGGGAAATCTGTCCCCAAACTCACAAGGAGACTCCAGGGAGGCAAAATTTGCATGAATTCGCTGGACTAGCTATATCAGCCAGGGCAGGAGCAACATGGCCGCTAAGGCACACTACCATAGGGCTCATTTCTCGGAAAAAAGCTCCACACCCATGCCTCAAAGGAACAAAACCCCAAACCCCACAGACCCGCCCCCAAGAAGCTCAGCCTTATGCTGTCTCCACAGTACTTGGAAGCTCATCACTGAAGTGGGTTGAATCCTTTCTGTTGGTTTGAAGAAAAATAACTTCTCTTGTTTGTTATAGCCACATTTGTTATTTAAAGGGATAAAATAATTAAAACAAGTGGCCCCATGCAGCGTTGGGTTTTATCTTTACCATCACATTTGACGTAATAATCGTGCAGTCACCGGGGTCCATGAACTTTGTCTGTCACCCATGACTTACAATACTGATCTTTTATTTAACAATACATGGAAATTAGGCTCTTCATTGTGCCAACTTCCTGGGACCAGCTTCTCCATTTCCTTCTGATTGAGAGTCTTAGACAACACAGTGTATTTTCTCTCTGCTCTGGAGGCCAGAAACCGGGAGGAGAGGGTACACCTGGTCCTTTCTGGGACTGTTCTGCCTCACTCCAGTGTCCTGTGTCCCTAGCCATCCTAGGCATTCCTCACTGAGATGACCCCTCCAATGTCTACCTCGCACCACGAGCCCTTCTCCAAAAAATGGGGAGGGCTGGATAGATGGCTCAGCAATTAAATGTTCTTGACACCAAGCCTGAGTTTGATCCCTGGAACCCACATGGTAGAAAGGGAGAACCAGCTTGACACAGTAGAACATGCCTCTAAACCCAACAGGCAGACCTCTTTGGGTTCAGGGACAGTGTGGTCTACATAATGAGTTCTGGGACAACCTGAGCTACATAGCAAGACCCTTCTCAAAAAGGACAGAAGGAGGGAGGGAGGGAGGGAGGGAGGGAGGGAGGGAGGGAGGGAGGGAGGGAGGAGGGAGGGAAGGAAGGAGCGAGCAAAACAAAAGAGGACCAATTCCTGCAGATTGTCTCTGACCTCCGCCTGTAAATAATAATTGAACAAACTTTTTGTGTCCACCTTTACTAACCTGGGTAAGAAGCCAGGATCATAACCCTTATCTGTGCTGGCATGTAGTGACCCCATGTGGGTCCTGCAGCATGTGTCGTCAATCGCCAGCCCGTCATGTTCAGGATCTGTCCTTCCCGGCTGTTTGGGGACTGCACGAGAAGATTCAGCCACATAGCTGCCTCAGTGTCTCCTTTTTAGTAATTTCAAACATGAAGTTTAAATTTTTGTTTTATTGTAAAGAACACCACATGAAATCTTTATTTTTATACTTTTTTTTAAGTCAAGAGTCTCATTCTGTAGCCCAGTCTGGCTTCGAACTTACAGTGATCCTCCTGCATCAGCCTCCTTCCCCATGAACGGTCATACCCCACCCCACCCCACCCCCGTTTTCTTGCTCACACATCCTAGAATACAGACAACATGAAAAACTGACCAAAATCCCAGGCAGTAGACTCTTGGCTCCAGGTCTGGTCTGTGTCTCTGAGGTGGCCCCTCTGCCCTGGCTCTATGTTGGGGCACCTGCTGCAAGGTGTCCTCCTCACCACAAGGTCCCTCAACTTCCATTCCAAGCTGAGGACATGTGTGACCCTGGCCGGGTACCCAGGGGTGTACGTTCTTACAGTGCCAGCAGACATTCACAGGAGAGTAGTTCAGTGAGGTCCCTGCTGCTGTCTCAGGGACTCCAGCCCAGCCAAGCTCTAGAGGTGACATTACATGGGACAGACTCCTAGTCCAGCCCCATCAATCCAGAGAACCCTGACTTGTGGAGGGGTTCTGTGAGACACAACTCATCCGCACAGAAATGTGCACAGAAGGATACCCAAGGCTCCACTGCCCAAAGGGTACTACAAGGACATGGAAGTGAAGGCATTACGCCTCTGTGTAGAGACCTAGGGGATTCCTACTCCCAGTACATGGTGTCCAGAGCCAGCACACTGTCTGTCAGCATCTACTCACACATGACAGCAGGCCTGTTTCAGGGTCTTCAGGTCTAGAGGGGTCACCTGAGGATGGCAGTGCTTTCAAGTGCCTTTGGCCCTTAGAATTTGTTGACCATGAGAAAATTGCCCAGCTCAACTGTGGACACTTCTATAGTATTTCAGCTTCAATACAATGGCTAATGCTTCCTCTCGAGTCTGTGTTAGTACTCCACTAGACAAGGTGATAGTTGACATAGGAGGTAGGACAGCCAGAGCCACCCCGCCAGCTGACACAGGCTTCTGGGAGTGTGTATGTGGGGAGGGTCTCCAGTCCCAGGAGAGGGGACCTGTATCTGCCGTGATTGGAGGCTCCAGTGGCTATGCCCCTTTGCATTGTTCCAGAATCTAAACAGAATGTAAATGAACTACATTTCTCAGAATCCTTTGCAACATGCACTCTGCTGAACACGGTCAAGTTCAGTGGTCGCCCCTGGTGTTTTCTGTACAGAGTTCTAACCTCCAGGCTCCAGCTGGGTGGTGTGCTCTTGAATTCAACAGTCCCCATGGCCATGTCCTGGTTCTCTTCAGAATTCTTTCTGGAACCAGCTACAGAGTTCAGGCCTCTGGTCCTTCAGGTAACCCTGTATTAAATCTCCATCTGGGCAAACTACCTGGGGTGGTATCAGTCACAGCACCTTTCAGGACCCGAGTGTCAGGAAAGATCAAGAAAAAGTGGCATGTGCACGTTCCTGGAGGCACCGAGTGCCCAACTACCTGGCATGACACCCCAGGTTCTGGCACCAGCTCAGAGAAACATCCAGACACTCCCACAGGAGGCACAATTGGTTCACCATTCTATTCTGGGTGCTGTGAGTGGCGTATCCCTCCGAATGGCCACATGAGTCAAATACACATGTTCCCCAACCCAGGTGTCCACAGGAAACCCTCCACTCCCAATGATGGCATCAAGTGCAGGGCCTCTAGGAAGAGCCCTGTGGTGGCCCTAGAGCCCCCAATGAAAAGGACAGGAAGCACCTTTGTTCCCCTTCTGCCACATGGGAAGGTGACAGAGTAGCAGGGCCCCTGGAAGGGGGTCTACCATGTAGCTTCTAGGCCTGAAGCTCTCACCCACCCGGAACTACAGGGACCGTGTCCGTTTTCAGGTCACTGCCACTGCTGATGGGACTGTGCTAGGACAGCACTGACTGATGAAGAAAACAGTAAGCAGGGTTAACACTGTCCTCTTCCGGGAGGCAGGATTTAAAAATATTAACAATAATAGGAAATTGGGCATCTGCATCAGCTGAAAGAACAGACAAGCTCCTGGTCTTTCTGGTCTTCTCTTCTGGTCCCCTTACCCACCACACACACACACACACAAGCACGCACTCACGCGAGTGTTTGTGCATAAGTATGTATTCGGTTTTGTTCTGATGGGGGTGCATGCGGAGGCTAGAGGCTGACATTGGTATCTCCCTCAATCCCTCTCCACCTCCTTTTTAAGATGCGGTCTCTCACTGAACCTGGGGATGTTCAGCTAGGCTGCCTGACCAGCAACTCAGACCCTCTCTGCATACAAGTGTACACAGGCATGCAGAAAAGGCATGTGAACACTTGCCACACAGCCTCCTGCTTGTGCACACACAGGCATACACACATGCACACTGGTGTGCAGAATGGGCACGCACATGCACACTGTGACTCGAGGTGCTAAGAAGCCCTCAGTCACCATGTGCACAGATTCAGGACTCACCTTAGCACCACATACCCTGGGCCCAACTCCTCCAGCACCTTCCTGTGGGAGATGAACACTAAGGCTCAAGCCCTGAAGGCCGCATGATAAAAACATCAGAGACCCTAAGGACTTAGCCCTGCAGCTCAGCCCCTGGTCTGAATCCTGGTTCTATCACTCCCTGGTGTGAGACACTGCGGGGGGGGGGGCTCTACCCCTCCCAGGTTCTCATCTGACACCTCCATCATCAGCCTCTGTCAGCCTGTCTGATGCTCAGGGATGACCCCTACACAGGCAGTTGCAGTAGCCAAACAAGCCAAATGCCCTCCTCTCAGTCCCATGTGGGTCAGCCGTGATCCTGGAAAATCAGGAGAATGGGTCAAATCAAATCCCAGAAGGGCATAGCCTGCCCGGGGGAGCCTGGTCCTGGGTCTTCTGGGTGTCCGTGGGACAGTCTCCCAGAAATCCCACTTTCAATCCCACTGTCAGAGGGAAGGAAGCACAGAAAACAAAAGCCCCTTCGGCACAGAAAAGCCCAGGCTCCCTCCTGAGGCCTTGGTGCCACACTGGCCACTGCATTGCCTTCCTGCTGGAGCAGCTGGAGGTAAAACAGCCCTGAAAAGAGGCATGAGAAACAATTCTGTCATCTCAGACTGACTTTCCCAGCCACCAAACAGCCCAGGGTAGTGGGGATGAGGAGATGCTGGCCTCTGACACAAGGAGCAGGAGGCCCAAGTCAGTGGTTACACTCAGAGCCTGGTACCAAGGTGTGGAATTCTCCAGAAGAGGTGTCGTCCACGGCAGGAGCAGCCTGGCAATCCGGACCACTTTCTGCTCATGATTTCACGGCGACAATTCATATCACACCAAGCACTGAAGAATGCATATGACGGCACGATAGTGTAAACTCTGATGCAGATGAGCATGTGGCGAGATGATTTAAGCCATCAGAGGACTGCACCTGATTCTCCCAGGAGCAAACCCTCTGCTCTGGTTCTTGACCTCCAGCCAATACAAGTCCCACAGGCTGTGGAGGTTACAGACCTTCCCCCCCCCCGCCCCCCCAGCTGAAAGCTGTGTGCCCTTCAGCTTACCTCTTAAATTCTTTAATCCTCAGTTGTACCATATGAGAAACACAGAGAATAAGGATACGGGCCTCCAAGGGCTGTGGGGACTGACTACCTGTGAGGAACCTAGCACTTACTTCCCGGGGCCACATAGTATTGCCACCTCAGAGTCACCCTGGAAGTGTGTGTGTGTGTGTGTGTAGGTGGCAAAGGTGCCTCTCCTCATCAAGACTGAGGTTCAGGCACAGCTCCATCTCTGGTTTTGAATGGGTGCTAAGGAAGGGAATGCATGAGCGTTCTGGGGGGGCCAACAGGCTGTGTGCACGTGTACATGCATGTATGCTACATGTGTATATGGCATGCATGTCCAGCAGGCAGGACCTAGAAGACCTGTTCTCTAGCCAACACAGCCCACACCACTGAGGCATTCAGGGTCCGCAGGCAGAATCATGGTGTAATGGCTGAAGAGCTGGGATCTTGCCTGACCTGGAAGTTGAGCCATGACTAGTTGGGCCGGGGATCTAGCCCAGGTTCCCCTAGACCACAGCTGCTGTGCTGGGGGAGGGGGCTCAGCCTTATGACTAATCTGCCCTCCAGAGACCTCAGGCAAACAAACATTTAGACTGGGGACTCCCTCCTCTCCTCTGATATGTCCAAATATTTGTAGCTTGTGGGTCACCCAAGCCACTTCCTGAGAGGCAGGATTTGGGATGCTCCTGCCCACACAATCCCGGTCAGCGTGACGACGAGAGCCCGCAGTGTGTCTGGAAGGCTCTGGTTCCACTTGGGCCACCTGTGCCCAGGATGGTAGGTTGAGAGAGGAGGCTGAGAGGAGGGTGACTTAGAGCATCCTCTGATGAGTCCAGCCTTGAGCTGACAGATGGAAACCTGTGGCCGTGACTGGGAGCCAAAGTCTAGCCCTCTGCCCAGGACCACAGTTCTCCTCTCTCTTCTCCTGAGAGGCTCTCATTCATTCATTCCTCCCAGCAGCCCAGGGATACCCTCCACTTCCTCCCCTTTTCCTCCCAGTCTTTCCCTCCCTCCTCTCTTCTTCCCCTCCTCCGCCCCTCCCCCACCCCTCCTCTCCTTTGAGAAGGGATCCAACTGCTTCAGGCAGGCTCTCCCGCTGCCTGCTTCTGGAACTCCCTCCCTGGCCTGCAGCCTTCCCTGAGTTCTCGGACTTAATTCTTCTCAGGGGTCTTGGGAAGAGACTTGATTTCTCCCTCCTTCCGCAGATAAGACTGCTGAAGTACAGAGAGGCTGGGTAACCCACCCAAGGCAGCCCAGCAGCAGGGGCCTGCAGACCCGGTCACTCTCACTGCTGCTGGTGCCTCTGTGGACAGTCCTGGTGTGGAGGAGCTCCCTGCCACAGGCCTGCGGGGGCATTTGTTAGAACACCAGCTCCTGCTCCGCAGTGGTACAGCAACTCAGAGGCAGATGCCAGGCCTGTGGTGGGTACAGGCAATGCCAGAAAGGGCCTGGAAGCCGGCTACTCCTGCCTGGGTCTCCTGGAAAGCCCAGCCTGTACTTAGCTCTCGCGGTAAATAACAGTCCTGGTTTCTGCTAAAAGGATTCATTCCCAGAACGCAGTCATTTCCATCCCCTGCTCGCTACAACCCGTATTTTATGGCTAAATATACGCCATAATGAGGCTCTGGCCTGATAGCGTCGTTAAGGAGATATTTGACCTTGGGTTTAATTGCAGGATGGAAGAAATGGCTGGGGCACACACAAGGGTCCCTGCCAGCGCATTCAGGACTCCGCATCTGCTGTCTCTGGCCCAGGAGAAAGTGGAGTGGATGACAAAGCTATGCCTGAGGCCAGTGATGCTCAGCCCAGACCCATTCTGGAGTCCCCAGACCTGCCACATGAGGGCCACCCTAATCCTGAGGGGCTCAATCTCTTAGTCCTTCCTTATTCCAAACCCTGGCCTCACCCAAGCTCCCAGGTTTGGGGGGGGGAGTCAGGAGCAAAGGGAAAGGTTGGCTACCTAATGGGAGAGACCCAAGAGACCGAGAGACCGTACACCAACACTGTGTGAAGGGGCACAGGGAACGAAATGCACCTGCTACAGGTCAGGCAGAGACAAACGCAGGATCTGCCCACTGAGTTATCATCATAACCTGGCTGAAAAGCGGGGCAGAGCTGTAACCTAGCTGGCCTATGGGGACTCAAGGCCTGCAGCCACAGAGGGGCTCCCCCTCGCAGACCCTTTGCTCTGTACCTCTGCAGATTCTTCTCTAGGCTGCTCAGTGTCAATGCTCCAGAGCCTGTCAAGTGGGTGTCAGTGAGTGCGCCGGTTTGAAGAATGTCTTTGAAAGATGGCTGGCTGCCGATAACTGTGACTTATGCCCACTTTGTTCTGTTTTGGTGGATTAGGGACCCTAAGTATCTGGGGAAGGTCAGGGCACTGCTGTTCTCCCGATACAACCACACACCTACCCTGCTACCCAAGATCTTTTGATGACCAGTTAAGAAAAGCCCAATAAGCCAGGCATGGTGTCATACACCCGAGTTCAAGTCCAGCCAGGACCACACAGGGAAACCCTGTCTAGAAAAACAAAACAAAATAAAATAAAACAAAGAAAAGCCCAACAGTGTCACCGGCTCCATTACAGAAGGTGGGGACACTGAGGGGCCACCAGTCCCCAGGAGCTCAGCTCTTAGCCCTGAGGTGGCTGAGCAGAAGATGAGGCCAAGTCCTCAAATGCTTCCCAGGAGTATGTGAACCTGCCTGCAGGACACCTAACCCTAGCAGGGTAGTCCTTCTGTTCTGTAGTCCCAGTCTTCGGAAACTGAGGCAGGAGAATCCCAGTGAGTTTAAGGCCAGCACTGAGGGCCCAGTTAGGCTATAGAGTGAGACCTTGTCTCAAAAGTAAATACAATTTTCTTCTGAGAAAGGGTTTCTCTGTGTAGCACCTTGGCTGTCCTGGAACTCACTTTGTAGACCAGCCAGACTAACTTGCCTCTGCCTCCAGAACGCTGGGTTAAAGGCCTGCATCACCATCACCCACCTTCACTCAGAAATACTGGTTTCTTTTTTTTGTTTTGTTTTGTTTTGGTTTTTCGAGACAGGGTTTCTCTGTATTGTTTTGGAGGCTGTCCTGGAACTCACTTTGTAGACCAGGTTGGTCTCGAACTCACAGAGATCCGCCTGTGTGTGCCTCCCGAGTGCTGGGATTAAAGACTTGTGCCACCAATGCCCAGCTCATAAATACATTTTTAAACCCATCCAAGGACATGGTCACGGCAGAACTTCTTATGAGTCCCCTCTCCCCTTTGGAAGGTTATCTCCTGAGCTCGGTTGGGCTCCTCTCTTTGGTGCTAAGCTGGCTGGGTCCCCAAGGCCTGCTGAAGTTAAGTGAATGTGTTTTACACACGGGAAGATGCAAAGACCCCAAATGAGGAGATCGTGGAACCCCAAAATTGACCCAAGTTGCCTGAACTCAGACCATGCCCATCTGGTCTGCACAAGCAGCTGAAAAAAGCAGGGAAGTGTGTCAGATAACCGGAACTGCCCAGTGCACTGTCTTCCAGGAAAAGATTAGACGAGGCTTGGGGCTGAGCAGCTGGGTGGGCAATCCTTGACTGTGTCCGGCTTCATACTGTGGCCAAGCTGCTTATCTGGGTGTTTTAATGCTGAGTTCTCCTTTGACAGAAGAAAATGATAGCTCGAAGCCTGCTCCACTGCCACTGGGCTTTTCCACAGGCAGAGCAGAGGCCGGCGGGTGGGCGGGGAGCAGTTGCCGAAGGGAAGGTGGGGACTGTCTTAGGAAGGTGGTTTCAGTATGTGTTTGGAAAGAGCAGCTGCTTTGAGGAAGGGAGGCACCTGGGTGGGGAGCTGGGGTCAACCCCCTGGAAAATTCTGTTACAAAAAGAAAGGGAAAGTCGGGCAGGGAAAGGTTATCACCCCTCCCAGAACCAGTTTGCAAAGAGCCCTTTGGGTCCTTAATGAGCCCCCAGCCCCCCCCCCCGCTCTGTTGCCTCAGACAACATGGGTTTTGCAGTCGGGAGGGTAGAGGGCACACAGGTTGGAGTAGGGGTTCCTGCAACAGCACCCCAGACAGGGGTGGGATTCCTGCTAAGTCTCCCAAGGCGAAGCTACAGCCCTTTCGGCATAGAGTCCCCAGCGGCCCCTGACTTGGATCGGATTGTGTGCTGTTTGTAACCCCATCCTTTTTCCATTAACGTAAACACCACTTGAACAAAAATATACAGGGCCACCTACTTCGCCGGGAAGATGGTCCAGCGCCCACCGACCCGGCTTCTGTCCAGGAAGGCACTCAGGGACACCAGGTCCCCCCAGGCCACCGCACCTCGGGCAGCTTTGAAGCCTGGGACTCCAGCCTCTCGGGTCTCACCCCCACCATCAAACACCAGCTGGTGGAGTCGGGTTGGCAGTGCAGAGTTGTCAGCTCAAATTCTTGATTAACTTACTTGCTGATCATGCTGGGCAAGTGGTCTCCTCTCTACCTGCCGCCCAGGCCCCAGTGCTCACCACCAAAGAGTTGTTTGAGTTGGAGTTGGCCAGGCCTTCCTTCAGCTGGAGGCCAAGGGGGAAGTGGGTGGGGATAAGCCTGGACCTGGAACCCCAGGTAGGCATTGGCCACTGGACCTTTTGGTGGAGTCAGATCAAAAGCATACAGGGGTGAAGGGTGTCCGCAGGGTTGAGTAACTGAATGTTGTGGCGATTTGGGGGCTCCCTGTCTTCCCTGTGATTGCTGAAAGTGAAAACTGAAAGGTACTGTAAAGTCAACCAGACACCATCAGCTTCCAGGGCAGGTCTACAGAAGCCCAAGCAGGTAGAGTTTGAAGCCAGCCTTGCCACCACTGTATTGGGCTAAGCCTGGATATGACAACGCCGTAATGTGCTATCTTAGCCTGACCTCTTAAGAATATTTTCACCACTGGAACCACTGTCTCCCGGCTTAAGAGCACCTTTTAGATTTTCATGGGCAAATTCAGACACCCAGTTCACAGACATAGTCACCTCAGAGACAGCCCGGGCTGCAGAATCCAGCATGGAAGCCTTCATCCTTGGCTCATTTCTCGCCTCCTGGGCTCCGGGTGGAGGTAGCCTGTACCCAGGGTTGGGCATTCAGACCACGGCCAAAGGGGGTGTCCAGGGCAGAAGGTGCTGACTACCCACCTCCCCAGAAGGTGGCTGGTATATGTCCCTGTGTCCCTGCTCCCTGGTCCTCCTATTGCTGGGGCAGGAGGGAAGAAAGGTTTGAAACATGCCCTAAGTCACTGCTGGTATGCGTGGAGAGGGGTGCATTAGGAGAGTGCCTACTTCCCAGCAGAACGGTGGGATTTGGGGCCCTGAGGGTCCTTCCCCAGATAGCACTCCTCCCCCGGCTGGTGGAGGGAAAATAAACACCGAGTTCACAAAATCAGGACCCGTCATTAGCCCAACCGCAGTAAAAGAACTCTCTTCACAGAGCAACAGAAACCAACCCGGACTGCCAGGGACCCTCCTGCTGCCCCAGGGGACTGAGATCCCACTGCAGCTGGGCCACCAGGCCGGCTTCAAGCGGACTCAGTCAGCTACTAACGGGCACTTTCTCTGCCTCCTCCAGCATTCAGATCAAGACATACCGCCTCGGCCGAAGGCCAGCCAGAGATTTTTTTTACCACCGCTCCCCCCCTGGAAACTACGATGGAAAAAAAAAGTTCCAGACAGACTCACAGAATCGAGGGAGTCTCCGCTGCTTAAAAAGGAGAGAGAGAAAACTTTGGAGCAGGTAGGAGGCGGCCAAGGGCAGCGGGACTCTCACCTCGGTAAGACTGCAGAAAACCCGCTAAGCTGGGAGGGAGCGAGGGAGGGAGGGAGGAGAGAGTGCTTGCTCGAGCCCAGAAAGAGCCAATTCGATTCCTAATTAGGTTGGTTTTCATGGTGAATTAAATAGGTCTCGGCCCAATTTGCAGGAAAAATAATGACCCCCTCCCAGGGCAGCAGTAGAAGACTGTCTTCGGTTGTTCACAGAGAGAGGGGAGGAGAGAGGGGAGATGAAAAATGGAGCTGACCTAGGGATATAAAGAAGTATTTGAAATATGTTTGGGTTTATATTTTCCCAAAACAGCTAATTGTGAACATCCTCCCATGCCAGGGACAGAATTTTTGCAGGCAATTAATGGAGAACCACTAGGAACACGGATGTAGGATCTCACTGCTCTGGAACAGAAAATGTGAAGTACGAGTAAGGCGGGGAAATTCCGTTCAAAACGAACAGGCATCGTAAGTGATCGAACTGTAAAGAATTGTGGTACTTCTGAGCGTTGAGAAAATACATTTAGAAATAAAAGGATGAGAAGGCTTGCCGTTTTGTCGTGCTTTTGACTCCTTTTGTTTTGTTTGTCAGTTTGCAGGGTAGAAAGTGGCTGGCTAGGCTGGGGGTGTGGCGGTGGTAAATACTGCTGGCTGGGAACAAGGTGAGCGTTGAGTGGATAGCAAAAAATAATAGCCCTAAACAGGAAGAGAAAAGGAGGAGGAGGAGGAGGAGGAGGAGGAGGAGGAGGAGGAGGAGGAGAGAGACAGAGACAGACAGAGACAGAGAGAAGAGAGGGATGGAGAGAATCTTAAATTGCCAGGGACTAAGGGAATCTTCAGGTACTAGTGGATTTCTGTAAAGGCCCTAGGTGGAGAACCTGGTTCCTAAACAATCCCTCCCAGGTCTGCTTATGAAGGCAGTGGGAGCTTTTGGCCTCTAAGAAGTTTTCAAAAGTCCTTCTCTTCCAAGCCCGAAACTTCACAGCAGCTCCATAGACAACTCTCTTAACTCCCCCAGAAAAGGATGTCAGAGGATGAGTCCCCTATTCAGCAAGGCCACCGGAGCAGGTCTGGGGACACTGCAGAGGTGGCCAGCCAGCCCCACACCATCCCATCCCTGGCACTTCTCAGAAACAGGGCAGGAGAGACGGGTGCCTGGAAACTGTTGCTCCCCCACGAGGAGGAGGGGAAACCAGTGGACAGGGCTTGGGGAGGGGGACTGGAGGTGTCCCTTTGTTAAGAAATGCGGTGGAAAACAAGAACAACCTGCATCAAGCTGCCTGACACCTTGGCAGAGTATCTCTATCTCCCAGGTCCTCCTCACACATACAGCGGCTGGCAGCGCTGAAGAGACCTGCAAAGTCGCCAGTTCCATTCAGAAGAGAAGCCCCGCCAAACAGCTCTCTGGGTACTGGGCTCCTCCCGTTCACCTCTGGGTGAGCTGTGCTATCCTGCCACGAACCAGGCTCTGAAATGGTAGGTGCTCAGAGCCTGTGCAGGGTCAAGGCTGTCCTCCTGAAGGGGAAGCCACGCAAGCTGTCAGGATTCTACTTTCAGCTACCTGGGAATCACAGCCTCTGAATGGGGAAGGAGTTTGCTCCAAGACACCCCCCCCCAGCAGCTCATCCAGGGGGATAGTGCTCTGTAGAAGGGGGCACCTAACATGTCACCAGCTCCCCTGTGTGGTCTATGACCCCACTCTCTTTCCTCAGAAACCAGGCCAGCATACTAGTCCCTGAGAACCCCTCCCCTCCAATCCTTCTTCCATTTAGTCAATGTGCCAGGCTAAGACTCCACAGACTCCTAGGCACTGCCTCAAAAGCGGGGTGTTAGATCTCATCCTTCACCCATGTGAACCGCAAATTTCCAGGAATCTCTGTACCTTTCGAGGAACAACCCCATCCAACAATTACTAGCATATCTGCTCCCCTCAATCAGAGAGGTGGTATCATTATTTTTGTTTGCACAGAGAGGCAAGTCCACTGGCTCTGAGCCACAGAGCAGTGGAACCAAATGGTAACCATGAATCGTTACTACAGGGCCCAAGTGGTTACGTTTGTTTGTTCGTTTAACAATTTGACATGGTTTGAGTTTACAGTCAGTGTCTTTCCTCCCTGACCCGCCAGGCTCCTTGAACACTGTAGTTTTGATGTTTCTCTTCTTATTCGTGGGTCAGCTCAGGGATGAGTACTGACATTACTCAGTTGGCAAGAAAAGGAGATTGAGGAACCAGGAGACTGACAGAGTGCCCTGACAGGTCTGTAATTTTGCCTATCTGTGCCAACAGCAGGTACTCAAAGCAAAGTTTCTCACCAACACACATGCACACACACACAAAGAGAGAGAGACTACAGGAGCATACGCACTGAAGTGTTCACACACATGCAGACAGGTGTATCTTACCGACAAACAGACACACACACACACACACACACACACACACACACACACACACGAACACACTTCTTTTCCCTTGGGGTTCCATGCTGCAGCAGACATACAGAATCTTCCTGAGGGTTCTTGGTCAGCCTGGGCTTCAAGCCTCTCTATGGACACCTAGTCCTCATTTCAGTGAGAGCCTCACCCCTTGCCCAAGTTTGGAGCGAGCACCCCCATTTTCTCCAGGAGACTCCACTGACTTTCCATTCCAAATGTATTTTCTTCATCCCACTCACGGAGATCCTTCTGCCTGAACTTTCTGGGATTGAAGGTGCCAGCCATCACTCCCCAAGCCCCTTGGCAACCTCGTTTTTCCTCTGACTCCCTAGAAACTGCCACACATCTAGTTCATTCTTTTACCTGAATGCACAAAGCGGGTCTGACCAGAAGCTCAAACATAAATCCTTCTATCCCGGCTGGGACAAAAAGAAAAGAAAAAAATCCACGTTGTAGCTGGCAGGGGGTTTGAGAAAAGAGTGTCACCCCCCTTTTCTCAGCAGATGGGCCTCTGCTGGGAGCTGGCAGGTGAGCCCCCTCCTTCTTGGGGGCCTCCTAGATTGGGCAGTGTCTGTTTCTGCCTGCAAAGGCAGTTTCCACCCTTTCCAGTGCCCTTTAACAGGGCAACTCTGATGAATGTGCACAGGCTGCTGGCTGGAGGCACCTTAGGAGTGAGACCTGCGCACCATCAGATACCTGGCAGCAAATTATTGGTTTTTAAGAAACAAATCCGAGCCTGTTTCCCTGTCCCGACTATTTTGACAAAAGGGCTGTAGCCTCTCTTACTGACCCTCTGGAGACAGTGTGTGAGCGTGGGTGTGCTCTGTCTTACTCCATCTCTCTGAAACCTGAACAACATAAAATAATATGTATATCTATATCTATATCTATATATATCTATATATCTATATCTATATCTATATCTATATATATATATATATATATATATATCTGGTCCTTGGCATTTAATGCGTTTTCATGTTGGCTTGTTTTGGAAGCTTGTTCTCGTCTTCCTCTCTCTGCCTTTGCCCTCCATCTCAGTCCTTCTTTTTCTGGGAAACCCCAAACCCCTCCCCATTGTCACCTCTGTAGTCAGTGATCCTGTGCTCGGATCCATCCCCAGAAACCAGCTCTGGTGGTCTCAGTCAGCCAGTCTCTGTCTCTCTGTCTGTCTCTCTTACACACACACACACACACACACACACACACACACACACACACACACACACACACAGAGGCAGCAACATTCTATCTAAGTACAAATGCATAGGCAGCCAGGATAAAAAATAATGTTTGGAGACACTTGGGGTGTCTCCGTGGGAGGAAAGAGCTGCCTAGGAACCAAGTGTCACAAACCAGACTGCAGGAGGCTAGAACCTCCTCTTTCTTGGAATAACACGATCTGATCATTCAAAAAAGCTCCAGACCATTTCTCAAGGAAGAGCTGTAAATTCCGGAGCTGCAATGCCACCAGATATTTCACTAAGGGACGTCATGGAAAATGATGCTTTGGGATAAAGGGCCAGTTGAAGAAGCGAGCTCCGGCTTTGCTAACCTTATTTACTTGTTTAGACAGAGTTTTCTGTAGCCCAGGCTACCCTTAAACTCATTGTGTAAATTCAGGATGACCTTGAACTTCGATCATCCTGTCTCTATCTCCCAAGTGATAGGATTATAGGTTTGTAGCAAGCCTGGTTTTTCTGGTTCTGGGTATCACACCCTGGGCAAGGCAAGTGGGTGTTTTGTTTTTTGCTTTTGTTTTACCGATTAAGCTATATCCACAGCATTTTTAAAAATTAAAGTAAATTATTGACCCATTTCTAAGGTAGAGTGCATAGGTTCTAGAAGCTGATGGTAATACTTGTCAGGTCTCAGACATCGTGAGCCCCCTGATGCCCTCACTTCCACCAAGAGCAAGTCCCTTAATGCTTGGCTAGGCAGAGCACCCATCAAAACTCTCTCCTTTTTGCAAGTGCACCCCAATACCAGTAGCGGCATCAAAGCCTTGTTTCAAAGGCACAAGTCTCACACATTTGACAGAAACCACACGCAGCACTCTCTACATCCCAGAGTCCTTTCTCTATGCTCTGCAGAGTTACAATGTTCTGCCTGCTGAGCACGTGTTTAGAACACACTCCAGAACATTCCACCTATAACATGCAGTCCTGATCACATCTCACCACTGGGCATAAAGCAGTTCAGTCTTACAGGCTCATTACAGTCCTCATCTCACACTTCAACATTCTCACAACACGGTGTGATGTCCATACTGCTATTTATTTGAGGGAGCAAGGTCTGCGATATCCCAGGCTGATTCCCAACTTTCTAAATTCAAGGATGACCTTCAACTTCTGATCCCCCTGCCTCCACAACCTGAGCGCTGGAATGACAGACCACTGCTGTCTTAGTTTATCAGTGCCGGGGATAGAATTGAGTGTTTCTGTACATACTTTAGTGGGCCACTCTACCAACTAAGCCGGTGGATGGATTAAAAAGGAGCCCTGCCCAGATTCCTTCAAATACTGATTGCATGTGAAACCACCAAGCCAAACCCAGGTCCTCCAGTCTTGGGAAGGGCTGAAAGGATGGTATTTGTTTGTTCGCCTTTCGTCCCTCTATATCCATCTCCCACTCTCGACCTTGGTGCCTGCTCCACGCGCGCGCACTTTGCCCTGGGTCAGCTTCAGCAGGCTGGCAGCCCTCTGGATCCCGGTGCCCAAAGGCTCATTTCCACCTTTTCGCCACCCCTGCACTTCGACCCGTGTCCCCCGTGTTCCCTCCCGATTCCCCGGGATGCGCAGTCTCTCGTGGGGTCCTGGCCATGCTAATGCACAGCAGTGCTGCCGGCCTCGCTGTGGGTGGTCGGCGGCGCCCGCGGCCCGACGGCCGAAGCAGGATCTGGTTCCGCGCTCGGGTTTCGCCGGGCGCGCTCTAGGCCGGCAGCTTCACTTAAGCAATTAGCCAATGCAGATACCTGAGGCCCCGAGAGTGGGGGCGTCCTCCCCGAAACAGAGGCATTCCTGGAGCCAGTGCTGAGTGTAGGGACTTGATTTGAGACGGGGAGGGCGTCTTGTATTTGCCCAACCCAGTGCACCGTATCTTCCTATCCTCCTACAGCCCAGACCCTGCCTCCCTGGGGCTGGGCCCCTTGGGACTTTGTTTGATTTGTTTGGTCCTTCCCTGTAGTCCCAACTCACTGCTGCCGTAACCCTAAGAAGTGGGTGCTGCAGTTGGAGTCGCGCATAAACGAATAAACCTGGCAGAGTACAAAATGGTCTAAATGAGCATCCCAAGTTGTAACTTCAAGTCCTACACTGGGGATATTGTGGGGAGCGGCACCCGCAGTATCTCAGGAAGCCTCACAAGTCTACTCCTGCAGTCAGACTCGATCCTAGCTACACAAAATGACACACGTCTGGCATGGCCTCCCCAGTCCATCTGAAAAGGAACCGGTGGCGTGGTTGACATTTAATAAAAGCGTCGGTTGGTGGTAGTTTATGGGGCCTCTAGTCGTACTCGTGCAGCAAAGGAAGCCACTGATCGACCCTACCACTGAACTTGTTTCCCCTCTTCAAAAGCATGAAAATCAGGGAGACCTAAGAGTGAGCTAAGTTTTCTCAAAACTCATAGACAAGCTCCCCCCAGCTATAAATATAGCTTAACTGCATAGGGTCCTCCACACTACAGGCTTCCTACCCACTTTCACGTCCCTCCTTAGTGGGAAGTGGGTACTGGGGTGAGCCTCGGGCTGCTGGGCCCCCTTTCTTTCCGGTCATAAGGATTGACTACGGCAATTGGTCCCACCCTCACGGGCAGCTCTAGGATCTAGGCCTAAGGACTGAAGGGCAAGTGGAAGCTGACTTCAGTTTCCTCCCTGGGACTACATCACAAACTCTAAAGAGCCTCCAAGAGAGAGGCTCTGTGAAGGACAGTGGTCTGTGGTAGTTCAGAAGAAAAGGAACAACTGGAGGTCACCTAAGGGTAGGGTTTGTGCCTGTCTTTGGAGGCCCCTTGGCCTTCGGATAGAGGCATGGCTGCTACCACTTTCCTGGACCTCCCCACCCCCAAGCCCCTGTGCTGGCTTGGAAGTTGGCCACCTCCCTCAGTTCACCTTTAGCTAAAGGCCAGATATGTAGCACCCTTCTGGAAACTTCCCTCCCTGACATACAGCCCAGAGACTGAGAGTCTGGAATTGCCAGTGGAGACCAAAACGGGAAGTAAAGGAAAAAGAAAGGATGGGAAAGAAGAGGGGAGAGAGAGACAGAGAAAGAACTAGAGAAAGGGGGGTATGGGAGTGAGTGGTTTGGGGTGGGGGTGTGCCCTGGCTTATACAGCCCATTCTTGTGATCCTGTGGTTATGTGTGGGCGAAGGCACAGTGCAGTAGCGTGCAAGCTACGTGTGGTGTGTCCTCCCCAGGGTGGGGCCCCTAAATTGTACAGAAGTCCCCTGAGAGGATTCAGGCCAATCTGTGGATGGTGCTGAGCGATGCTGGCCGGGCCAGCTGCGTGAAGCAGAAGCCCTTCTCACAGGGCACCTATATGTGCGAACGTAGAAACACACGTAGGCGCTCATGTCTCCCTCCGCCCTTTTTCCCTGGTTGGGCCACAGAGTTCTCAAGCCTGTCCTGGAGAAAATTCCGGGAAGGCGACTCTAGTCTCCAGCGAACCCGGTCCTACCCATGGAGGCAGCAACAGAGCAGGCAACCTAAGTCAGCAAGCCCCCAGCTCCTCTCACAGATGTGCCAGGCGCCTAGAAGGCGACAAGGCGCCTTCCAGCAAAGCTGAAGACGTGGGGGTGGGGAGAAGATGGGGAACCAGGAATCCAAAGAAACTTGAGGCCGGCAGGCTTTGAAGGAGACCCGCACACACCTCTCCCTGCAGCTCGCGCCAGGGCGCAGAAGCCTGACTCCGGTGTGCCTCGCACTGACTCGCGAAAACGTCCTTCATCACCCTCCCCGCCAGCAGGGCTTGCGTGCACGTCTGTGCGGCGGGAGGCCCGCACTCACCTGGTTTCGGGCGCGCCGAGTCTAGCCGCATCTCGCGCACGGTGCTGTATCACGCACCAGCTTTCCACTGCCGCGACCCCGCAGTCAGGGCATTTTCCCTGCTGCTGCGTTCCCCGCCAGCGCCGCCCGCTTTCCGGAACCCGGCCTGGCGCGCAGTATCGGGAGGCCCCGCGGCGGCGGCAGGCCGAGCCCATAGGGGCATCAGGCCAACTCCCCCCGGCGCCCGCAGGCTTCTCTACTCTTATTATTAAAGGATCCCCCGGAACGTGTTTACGTTGAGCCTTGTAAACTTCCTGCCCGGGACTTTGCCATCTCTCAGGAAATCAGAACCTGCGCTTGTAAAAGGGGACTCGGGGCCGCGGGGCCAACTAAGCGGATTTCAGAGTTGAGCGTGGGGGAGGGGGCTCCGAGAAGACGTTGCTGTTTAAATTCAGATCTGAAGTGGTGTGTGTGTGAATGAGGGCGATCGCAATGGCAGCTCCCGTGGGACCCTGGGGTACGTGAGTGGGGCGCGCACTGGGTGCAATTTCGTACGTCTGAGTTAGTGATTTGGGGATTCGCTTGGGGCATCACTGCATGTGCGCTCCGAGCGCGCGTTAATGCACGCGTGTGTGCGCCTTTCTGAATGAGTGAACAGGCGGTCCTACTAGGGAACCTGTGCGGTTCGTGGCGCTGCAAGAACTGAAGCCACTCGCCCGGTCCCGCTTGCAGCGCCGGAGACAAAGCGCCAGCGAAGCGGCCTGCGGTTTCGTTTTCTGCCCGCGCTCGGCCGGGGCAGTGGCTGCAGCACGGCTGGGCGAGTCCGAGGACCGCCGGGCGCCGGCGCAGCGCTTCCCGGGGCGGGGAGTGAGGGGAGGCGGTCCCTCTCGGGAACTTACGCCGTCCTGCCTCGAAGGCTGGGAACCCAGTCGCTTGCTCTGCCCGCGCTGGTCACGACCCTAGGCCTCCGCCACCGCCGCAGCCCAGTGCGCTGGAAAGACCGGGGTCCCAGGCGCGTGTCCAGTCCACTCGTCCGGGCCTAGGAGGCGGAGGCCGGCGCACCGGGTCCAGGTCGGCAAAGGCGGGGCGGGCTGCGCAGCCCGGGTCGGGCGGGGGCCGAGGGGGCGCGCGCCCCTGAGCAGCGGCGGGGGATCCGACGCTGCAGGCTGCGGGGGCGCAAAGGCGTGCAGCCCCGAGGGGGGGCGGTGCCGGGCCCCCTAACGCGCGTGGCCTCCCGCAGGGAGGAGGAGGAGAATCGCGCGCCTGGGGAGGGCGGGCGCGCGGGGGAGGCGCGCTCGGGAGCCGCAGTGACGGCAGAGGTGCAGCCGCCCCGCGCAGCCCCTTCCCCTCCCTCCCCTCCTGCTCCTCCTCCTCCCGGCTCGGCGGCACAGAGCAGCGGCGGCAGCGGCGGCGGCAGCAGCCACCCGATGTCCGCGCCCGACAAGCAGCAGCCGCCGCACGGCGGGGGCACAGGAGGAGGCGGCGGCGCGGGCAGCCAGGCCATGGACCCTGCGGCGGCGGGCCCCACCAAGGCCAAGAAGACCAACGCGGGCGTGCGGCGACCGGAGAAGCCGCCCTATTCGTACATCGCACTCATCGTCATGGCCATCCAGAGCTCGCCCAGCAAGCGCCTGACGCTCAGCGAGATCTACCAGTTCCTGCAGGCGCGCTTCCCCTTCTTCCGCGGCGCCTACCAGGGCTGGAAGAACTCCGTGCGCCACAACCTGTCGCTCAACGAGTGCTTCATCAAGCTGCCCAAGGGCCTCGGGCGGCCCGGCAAGGGCCACTACTGGACCATCGACCCAGCCAGCGAGTTCATGTTCGAGGAGGGCTCGTTCCGCCGGCGGCCGCGCGGCTTCCGAAGGAAATGCCAAGCGCTTAAGCCTGTGTACAGTATGGTGAACGGGCTGGGCTTCAACCATCTCCCCGACACCTACGGCTTCCAGGGCTCCGGAGGCCTCTCGTGCGCGCCCAACAGCCTAGCGCTGGAGGGCGGCTTGGGCATGATGAATGGCCACTTGGCGGGCAACGTGGACGGCATGGCTTTGCCCAGTCACTCGGTGCCACACCTGCCCTCCAACGGCGGCCACTCGTACATGGGCGGCTGCGGTGGTTCTGGGGCCGGAGAATACCCGCACCACGACAGCTCGGTGCCCGCTTCCCCGCTGCTGCCGGCCGGCGCCGGTGGGGTCATGGAGCCGCATGCCGTCTACTCCAGCTCCGCAGCAGCCTGGCCGCCCTCGGCCTCCGCAGCTCTCAATAGCGGGGCCTCCTACATCAAGCAACAGCCTCTGTCCCCTTGTAACCCAGCGGCCAACCCCCTGTCTGGCAGCCTCTCCACACACTCCCTGGACCAGCCATACCTGCACCAAAACAGTCACAACGGGCCAGCAGAACTGCAAGGTGAGTGCAGGGGTCCCCAAACCCAGACCCTTGACAGCCTGTGAACCAGTTCAGCTCCTAGAAGGTAGCCCCAACTCTGAGGAGAGACAGCAGCCCACTAGTGTGCCTTTGGGTACTGCTCTTCTCGCTGTGAGGAGTGAGTGCAGTTTGATGCCCTCCCGGTTTAGGCTGGTTCAGTTTCTGTTCTGGCTTCTCTATGCTGACTGCCCCAAGCCTGACCAGGTAGGCCCCATTCTCACCCCAAAGATTCAGAACCCAGCACTCTTAAGTCCGTTGGGGGCATGTGGGTGCCTTCACATGTAGCAAAGGCTCTCTGTATCTACTCAGGGGCCAGTACAGGCCTACCTTTCTGATAGTCCCTGTGCAAGGAGTCTGTGTTAGGCAAAAGCTGAAGAGGTAGGCCCAAAGCCAGGGGTAGGCCCAAAGCGGCCTGGGCCCAACGCTTGGAGGCTCAGCTAGGCTCTTCAGGAAACCTGGCCTGGTGACTCCAGGGGCATTTTGTGCTGACAGAAGCTGGCCTGTGTGGTGACCTGGCCAAGAGTTGGGGGGTCTGAGTTATAGGCCCCAGTGCTCTTTGTCTTTTGGGATCCAGGCTTCAAGGTCCCTCAGTGCCTAACCCAGGCGCACCCCAGTGAGAAAGAATATAGCCCACAGCTTGCTCCCTCTTACCCCTTCATGGGTAGTTTTCTCCTTCGGGGCCTAGTTCTGGAAGGAGAAATGGGAAGAAGGGTGGCCAGAAATAGGCTGTTAGAGTCCTTGGGAGGCAGAACACTAGGCTGGACATGGTGGGCCATCTCTCCACGGGGTCGCCCCCAGCTTATGCCAAGTTAAAACCCCATTTCCACTCATCCTGGGCACTGCCTGTCCTTCAGGGAGACTGTTCTGGGTTGAAGCTGATTGAGCCTCTGAGCCTCGCTCATAGCTCAGAAAGCTTGTTGACCCAGCGTTAGGCCCCACTTCAGCAGGGTGGAAGTGACAACTTCAGAAATCTCAGTCTCCCAGGCTCTGGGGCTTCAAAAGCCATAGCTGCTTCCTCTGCCTCCCTCTTTCGGCACAGTGTCCAGGCTGGAGAGGCCACAGGCAGTTGGAGCTACCCCCAGCAGGACTTTTAGCCAGTGTTCTATATGGGCCGTGGATGGGCAGGGAGCGCGGCTCCCCTAGTCCGGCGGTGGGGACCGGGAACCCTGCCAGTGGTGGCGGGCCAGGCACAGGGCTTTTGCACCTCAGACACTAATGTTTCGCTCCCCACTCTTGCTGTCACCTCACCCTACAGGAATCCCTCGGTATCACTCACAGTCACCCAGCATGTGTGACAGGAAGGAGTTTGTCTTCTCTTTCAACGCCATGGCGTCTTCCTCTATGCACTCTACTGGTGGAGGATCCTACTACCATCAGCAGGTCACCTACCAAGACATCAAGCCATGTGTGATGTGAAGCCGAGGCCATGGGCCCCCCAGCCCAGCCCGGCCGGCCCAGGGACCAGGAGCCCACTGCCACAAACTGCTTTACTCTGGAGGTATAACCGTCAGCAAGAGAAAAGGGCCCGTCCCCTTCCCTAACGGATTATTTGGAAAGAAAACCCCAACACAGACCTAGCGCTGTGGTCGGCGACTCCACCCCCACTCACTCACTAATTTCTAAAAAACAGTGGCCATCGGGCCAGATCAGACTGCAGCTGTCAGTAAATAAATACTTATTTTCAATCCCACTGAAAACAGCCACGAAGGTGCTGTGTCGGGGGAAGCCAGCTACATGGAAAGAATTCTGCCAAGGTCTCTCCACCCCCCACACACACACCTAGGGACGGTTTTTAGAAGCACGAACATGTGAGACCAGTCATTATCAAATACTTTTATTTTTGATTGAGTATTTATCTTTTAATTTTTAACTTTTTGAAAGAATGTCTTGAAATGCACAGGTCTCCCCACAGCCATCTTTTTTCCCCTCCTGGGGAGGAGGAGAGGACCAGGAAAGGCACCCCTTCTCCCGACCTGGGGTCTCCTCCAGCAGAGCAGTCACAGGTGGATCTTCGTGGGAATGATGCCGATGCCTGGAGCCACTGTTTGTCTTTTAAAAAAGACAACGGGAGCCCAGAAGCTGCCCCAGCCTCCGTCCCCTCCTATCTTCTTCCTCCAGCGTCTTTCACTTTGTTTGGAGTTGTTCAGTGGGTGTTTTTCTGCTTCCCAGTCTCTACTGTAACTCTGAAAGGAACCGAACACAGAAAGCTGCAGGGATACGTGTATGTACAGAGGCTCGATCAAGTGGTGTAGTGCAGGCTCCCTGACACCGTAGACAGGCTCGGCCTGTTATTTATTCTGCTTTCTTTTCCTAATCAAAACACCACGTAGCTCTACCCTCCCAGTATTAATGGTGTGACTTGGTTGGCAATATTTGCCGTGTAGAGTTGTTTTTTTTTTTATTTGATATCCATTGTAAATTTGAAACAAAGACCAATCCGTGTAAAAACAAATTTCCATATGTTTTATATAAATATATATAAAAATGAAGGACTGTCCCCCTTTTTAGTATTTCGGCCGCAGAGGTGCGGCGTATGTGACACATATTTTAAACCTCCTTCTGCACTGTATAAAAGGACAATCTGAGGGTATGCTTTTTGTGTATTTTTCCTACAAAAAGAACAAAAATAAAAATGTATAACATTTGTACATGGCCTCTAAAACTCTTGTCGATAGAAATAAACTCAAATGGCTCCTTTGTAGGGGTAATAGACGGACTCATTGTCTACAAAATTAAACTAAACCTAGGTGAATCTGAACTCCCTCCACCCCGTTAGTCCTGTTTTTCACTCCTCATTTCACACTGGAGTAAAATCTG